TCCAGATTTGCAAACCCACTGCTTCAACAGATGTGGTTGGATGGGTGTTACACCATTTAGCTTGCCTGACAAAATCATTTAAAATACAAAACCACAACATGAAATGTGGTGAGGTGAATACTGTAGCATTCTGTACAATGAAACAAGAGTATGTGAGGAAGTGGAGCGCTGGCTTCCAGATTCTGTACGTGTTCTGTGAAATAACCAGTGTGTGTTTTATCATAAACCTGGTAAAATGTTCACAAAGTATTTATTAATTCTCTTCAACTTCCACTAGAGGGTAGCCTAATCCTGTTCCCTTATTGAAGTTTAAAATGTCAAGGGTTTGAGTTTTCTCTGTTGCTTGATTTATTTTATACGACCTACTTTAAAGACAGCTTCATCTAGAATAGAAGATTCTTTTAATTCTTAGATAACAAAGTGCTACAGGAGAATGACAGCCACATGCTGAGGTTGTATCTTCTGGTCTGACCTAGCCTGCTACATTATTGTTTTGCTCTCTCCTGTGCAGAACTTGAGAGAGCATCCAGCAGGCCGACTATCACATTACTAGTGTTTCATGAACTAGATTATTTTGTTGTCCGGGTTACTTTATGAGATAGACCCTTCAAGAGACACATTAACTCTCTTTAGACACCTTTCAGACTACTATCCAGATCTCATTTGTTCCATAATGGCTTTTGCAAGTTAATGCACTTCTTAAAGTTCCTTATTACCATACCATATTACTTTATTACATAAAAGAGTAATGTAAGCATTTGAGGACTCAAATCTTTTAGTACCTGGTGACCTTTGGGTTTGCAGCCAACAAAGATTTCTTTGTTCCTTGCAACCAGTTATTTTGTTAGAAAGGTACTCATTAAGTGTGAAATAATTACTGTTCACATGACACTCCATTTTTCATATATCAGTGGTTACACTATAGATAATATATATTTGAAACAAATGGCACAAAGAAAAATTCCAAACAGAATCACACTTCCTTTGGGACAGTCTTCTCACAAAGATTTGCGAAGCTCTTTCCTGCACAGCTGTCAGGCATTCCCAAATGGCTTTTCACAATAAAATTCTACCTACCTTTTCCGCCGATCACTAAATGAGACATATGCTTTTGTTACAGCGAGCAAAATGGTGAGGTGTGAGCTTCTTGTAAAGGTGTGTTTGTGTCCATGGAGCTCGCTGGTATTTCATGCACATGCATTCTAAGTTTGGTTATCAGATTTGCTCATGTGCTACTCATTTTGTAACAGGAAATGAGCAGGTTATGACAGGGAAATTTAATTTCTGCTCATTTAAATTCAATATAAAATATTGAGAATACATATATATATGCATGTGATTATTATTTAAAGAGTTTTAGGTTTTTAATATAAAGGGAAGAAAATTTATTTTTGTCAATACAATTCTTCTGTATTTAATACTGATTTTAAGCCTGTTAAAGAGTTAAAATGGAAAACTTCCATTGTTTCTGCTGCTCTAACTCACTGATAATGGGACCTGGTTTGACTCACTGATAACAAAGTACCGTTGTCTTAATGTTTTCTAAGTTCTCTGCCCATGTTTAATTTATTCTTTTTACAAAATTTAGCATGACCTCCTAATATTTCAATTAGGTGAACATGAATCAGAGGTTTGCTCTGTTAGTTGTTTTTGACATTTTGGAGTGGTAGAATCATTCTGTACGCCAGAAATTATTCTTATTTGAATTCAGTGGACTAGCTTTTAGGAATACAGATGTAAAAATACATCCGTTTCCCTTAAGACCCTTAGTGATTCTTGAGAGGGTTGAGCAGACACCAACAGTGTCAGAATTCAGGTCCCGTGTCAGGCTCACGGGTGTGTGGAACACAGAGGAGGAAGCTAGGCTGTGGCTGGAGGGAGGGAGGGGCTGGGCCTGAAAAGAGGGGTGGGCAGTGGGAGCTTGCAGAGTCTCCCCAGGGCCGGGTGGCCAGGAGGTGCTGATGAGCAGAGCTCCTCTGTCATGAAACGTGAGACCATCCAGGTAGGTTGTGGCCAGGCAGCGATAGGTCCCAAATATGGTAAGGAGTTAAGCTGGATTTTTAAAATATTTGGGAATCTTTGAGACTTTTTAAAGGAGAAAATTAGTAGGCTTTGGTGTTAGCCATAGAATGACTGCTGACTTGCAGGCATTTAAAACGCAGATCTGCCGTAGCCATGAGAATATGGTGCTATCCTCTGTGCAGAAGGACACGAGGTTGGCTGGTTTCTCATTAGTAGGTCCAGGTTAGCACTAAACCACTCCCGTGTTTTCACCTGGCCCCCATTTTATTAACAAAAAAGGAAACTAGGGGGTAAGTTCAGTTTGTGCTTAGAATTTCTCTCCATGAGAAATGAATCGCCTGCCTAGAGATCAGCTCCATTCCACTTCCTGGCCTCATTAGCTCTGTCGTCAACCCACAGAGCTAAGCTGTACATGGAAATTGTCATCTGTCCAAATAAAAATAATGAAGGTAAAAAGAACATAGTTGTTTTCCAATACAGAATAATTATTGACTCCATTCCTATTTTCTTTTTATAAAAATCATTTGAAAATCCCCATCACCTGTAAGAGATTTAAGTCTAAGCATAGTCTCATATATAATTGATAGATTTATAAGTTTGTCAAAAAAAAAAGAATTTTACCACCATTTTGGTCTGTTAGATGCATAGGTGGTATCTACAACATGATTATTAGATTATTACTGGGCTATACAATTACTAGTTTTAAATAACTTTTATGAAACTTAGCCAATCTTTGTAAATTTTTTCTCCACATTTTTAAAATGACTATTAATTTTTTACTTACTGCCAAGTGCTAAGTTACTTTGCCTTTTGACCACCTTGGTGTGTACTATTAGCGCTTGAGGTACCTCAGCTGACTGCAGAGTCTCCCCTCATCTGTAAGGGCAGAGCACGTCTGCAGGCTCATGCATCGGCCCAGTTATCAGCCAGTGTTCTCTACGCTCAGTATAACATAACATGTGATACTGGAGGAACCCAGTAACTTAGAGTTAAATGGATTCCATATTAAATTTAATTATTCTAGTTCTTATCACTAATCAAAGTGAAATAGCCTTTTAAATAATCCTATTAGCTATGATCACCTTTGAAGACCCTATCAGACTAGTTATAACAGAATGAGCTGAATATTGCTTCCTCAGGGCCAGTAGTACTGGTTCCCAGGCTGAGGCTCCAGTCATTTTCTTAACATAAAGACAAAAAGTAAATAGCAACTAGTATAATAACATCATTTTGCCTGTCTTCCCCCACATAAATCCCTTATCTATGACATTTAAAAAAAATCTAGACATAATTTCTCATTAAAACTTAGATTTTGTAAATTGTTTCAGGTTAGACTTTCATAATCACATATGTTAGCAGTTTTATGTGGCCCCTGATGATAGATTCAAAGCTGTTCGAAATGCATTATTATCAACCTTTCCCAGACTTACCAGTGGCTTACAGGGATAAAATATGATGAAAAACGGCACCTAAAGTGTCCTTGAGGAGGAGTGCTTAGACTGCTGCGTCACATTGTCACTTTTCAGTAAAATCTTATTTTCCTCCCAAATCCATGTCTTTAAGTGCTAGGCTCTACCAAATAAAAGGGAGTTTTTATAAACGCAGATTTCTACCATAGAATTAAAACTCGGGATATTAGAAAATGTGAATGCTTCTAGGTTTAATAGATCTTTGGGTCAAAGGTAATTAAAAACAGACCAAAATTTTTGTCTCACTAAATCTAGCACTGCAAATTGAAATTTGAGGCATTTGTTCCTAACCTAGATGCTACGAAAGCTAATTTAGACAGTCATAGGAAAATCTAGTGGATAAATGAAGGAATTAGAAACGCTGTAATTGTGTTTAGCCAGGTCAGTGAAGCCAAGGCTGGAGAGCTGCAGGGCCAGCTTGCTGCTTGCCCTGCCGGATGTGAGGCTTCGGGTGTGGGAGACCATGTCAGGCTGAGCCTCTCCCTCATCACTCCCTGCCAGTTGCCACTCCTTTGAGTTTGCCCAGCATCTCATACCTGGCTGTCAGGCTGTGTTGCCTTTAACATACACCTTCCTTTTCTAAGCTCTTTGAGCATAAGACTGTCTTTTTCATCTTTGTATCCAAAACACTTGGTCAGCGTTTGGTAAATGGCCATAATGCTATTTATGTTCTAAAATCTTGGACATCTGAAACTTTCCTTGTCAGAAAACAGCCAATCCTCATACCCATAACTATGAAATAGCATCCTATCAAATGAAAATTACTGTAGTGTGAGAGGGACTCTGTTAATTCCTGACTTCCCTTCACTAGCCAGGTATCTTGGGCAAGGTGCTAGATTAATTTCTGCAGGCCTTGGCCTTGAATCTTTTAAAACAAAGGTATGTCTAGATGATCTCCATGTTCCAGAAGAGCTTCAGGGCTCTGACGCAAAGTGGGGGAGTGAGTCCGGGAAAGAGTGGAGTCTCCTTCCCACCCACCGCTGACTAGCCCAGAAACTACACACATATTGAGTGTTTGTACATGTCTATAGTGCCTTGAAAATTTATGTTTATCATGTCCCAAGGCAGAACAAATGTCAAAGTAACTTGGAACCTCAGATATTATACTATGTTCATTATAATTTGTGTTAACTGTATTTCACTCTGTTCACATTATTTGAAGTTGATTATTCATGTGCAGTATATCGAGTAAGTAGGGTATTGTGCTGGGTTAACTAGGATACTCCCTTTCCTCATCATCCTGGGTAATAGCACATTTAAAGTGTTGTGAGAGTTACATCTTGAAAAGTGTATGAAATTTAAAAATATACTCAAAAAACATAATTTGAAGTATGTTTTCCTGTTAGTGTATTTTATTTGCTTCAAGAAAGCTTAATAAACAATGTTAAATGAATGTAAAACTGTCTCAACAGTTTAACCTTTTAATAACTTTTGGACTCGTTTTCTTTTCTCCATAATCAAGGATTTTGATTGACAATTATTTCTTCTTTTGACCTTACATGCTTCCAGCTCAGTTAAGGGCTAGCTTTGAAGAGGTCGAAATCCACCTGCTGAATCTGGAGGATTTATGTGGACAGTGTGAATTAGAAAGGTGCAAACATATGCAGTCCCAACAACTGGAAAATTACAAGAAAAACAAGAGGTGAGTTTGAAAAATTGGCCAGCAATGTTCATTTTACATACTATTCTTTACAAGTTTGGGCTGATAAAAGACAAATGTTTCAACATGTAAAGTTCATGAATAAGCCTTCCACATCATGATGAATGTGTTGTGGTGCCATCTGTTGCCCTTACTTGGAGGTGAGCTCTGAAAAGCTAGGAGATGATGCTAGGTGGGGGGAAGCAGATCCCCCCAACGTTTTCAGGAACAGCAACGTTTTCCTAGGAAATGGGAACCTGACCTCATGTCTCCATGTGGTAAATCTTGAGCTGCTCTTTTCTTTTTCACTCTTTTCTCCTCAGTTCTTAGAGCAGGAAGAAAAAGAACCTGAGCCCAGGCTGTGAAAAGGTGCTCAGTGAGTTTGAATTTCAAGTTTGTCTTATCCTGGCCATGAGACCTTAGGCAAGTTATTTCATTGTTTGGCCTCAGTGTGTTTTGCTTATAGTAAGGATAATAATGTACCCACCTCCAGGACTGCTGTGAGGGTTAAATGAGATAATCCTGTCTGAGGCAGTAAATGCCCTGTAAGTATTGGCTGTAGTAATGGTTATGTCATTAGGCCAGTCTGCACTGGAAACGGAAGGGTAGCTTGTGGGTGGCAGCCTGCTGAATGAGCTGAGGCCCCGGCTGGGGCAGGGTATGTCCCTCTGCTGCCCAGGGGGAGTGCCCGGGACAAACTGTGGTCTGTGCTGGCAGAGCAGGAGGTAGAATTGCCAGGGGGCTGAGAGATGGAAGAGATACAAGTGGTGGGATTAGAGTGGGGCTTAGGCTGAAGAGCAGATTTAGTGGGTGTGGGAGGATAGGTGGGGCAGAGAACATTGTTGATTTTAAGGTTATTGGTCCATTGAGAAGGGCTGGGACGAGTGTGTAGCAATAGGAGGAGGGGGTCACTGATGTGAACAGGAAGGGCCTCTCCCTGGCATGTGGCAGGTAAAAAAGTGAGCTTGTGTGTAGTAGTGTGGATTATCACGTTGATGTTGAAGTGTTCTGAGATAATGCCATGGGATTGGGGTAGAGATGAAAAGTGAGTATTCTGAAAGTCTCACATCTGTGAGTTCCTAGGGCTGGTCTTAGATATGAATGAGCTGTTGGAATCATCTGGGGAGAGGGTATGAAAAATGCAGACTCCTGGGCTTCATCCTTGGAGAGTCAACTGAAAGTTAATGGTCTAATTACTTTGAACAGACATCCCAGGTGATTGTGATAATGGCAGTTCAGGGACCACACTCGAGAGTCAGCCATGTTGTTGGGGTGGGTCAGGTCGGGTCATGGGCAAGTTCTAAATAGAAGAGGGTCAAAAGAGCTCCAGGGTGGCCATGGTTAAAATTGTTTGCCAAAGTCTGTAAGCATATGAATTTTTTTTGAAGGTGCTTTTTGTAAATTTCTTTGCTCACAGAGATGGTAGGGTATATGGCGGCATTAAGAACAGAATCCTGTCAGAGGAAGGACTCCTGAATGAGTGGGTGAGCACTGGTACCCAGGGGTTTTCAGACTGATGGGCATGAGAAAGAACCTTCCTTCTAGAAGGTAACAGAGTTAGAGTTAGACTGGGTCTGCAGTTTTAAATGAAAAATTAGGGAAATACTCTGTTGCAGAGAAGTTAGTCACTTAAGTTAATTTATAATACAGCCAAGCTTCAAGGAACTTGTTAAGATGGCTTAGCATTTTGAAAGGGAATTTTTGCAGCAGTTTGGGCAGCTTGGGTTCAGGCCACGTGACCCTAGAAGTTACATGGTTTTCTCATTTGTAGAATGGTGATAGTAATAGGACTGTATAGGGTTATTTTAGTATAGTGCCTACACTAGTTGTCAGCACTTGGTGAATGCTACGTCAGGAGGCCAGCACTGGCTGAGTCGTATCATCACTTGTACAACTGTAACTAGATGAGTATTTCGTATTTTTTTTTATATCATTAATCTACAATTACATGAAGAACATTATGTTTACTAGGCTTCCCCCTTCACCAAGTCTCCCCCACATACCCCTTAACAGTCACTGAGATGCTGTAAAATCACTACTTGTCTTCTCTGTTGTAGAGCCCGCCCCATACCCACCCCCACATTATACATGCTAATCATACTGCCCCCTTTTTCCCGTCTTTATCCCTCACTTCCCACCCATCCTCCCCAGTCCCTTTCCCTTTGGTAACTGTTAGTCCATTCGTGGGTTCCATGATTCTGCTGTTTTGTTCCTTCAGTTTTTCTTTGTTCTTATACTCCACATGAGTGAAATCATTTGGTGCATGTCTTTCTCTGCCTGGCTTATTTCACTGAGCATAATGCCCTCTAGGTCCTCAGTGTTGTTGCAAATAAACCTAAGAGTTTCAGTGAGAAATTTCAAAGGCAAGAAGTTTATATTAAACTATCTTTTGACTTGCTAAGACTTTGTCCTGGAAAAAAAAATTACATGTTTTTTCTTGATACTTACTCATAGCATCTTTACAAAATAAATATCAATAAATGCAAAGTGTTTTGCATCTCATTATCTAGTCAGACATCAGACTTGATTTAAATTGAATTCATATTTGTATCCTGTAGTGATTACTACTGATTTAATTCAAAATTATTAACAGAAATAGTTTGTTTTAGTTACTGTGATAAATCCTTGAAGTACCGAAGCTTGAATTTGTGCCACTTACTACCTGTATGGCCTTTTATAAATTATCTATCTTTGGCTTTCTTATTTGCAAATTGGAGGTAATGATACTCTTTTGCAGTGTTACAGAAGATAAAATGGGGTGTTTTTTTTTTTTCTTGTCTTGTTTTTAGGGACAAATGAAGGCAGGCCCATGTGGCTTATAGAATCACTAGTAGTTCTCAGGTATAGTTAGGTTGCTTTTTTTAATAATATAGTGGAAATACTGAATATGAAATGTTGCTTAATACTACTTATAAACTATAACCTTTCTGAAATTCTTAACTTGTTTTATTCAGCATATAAAAGGATGAAGTATCTTTTACGAAGAAACCTTTTGGAAGCAATTCATTTAGTTAATGCTAAATTAATATGCATATATTTATACATATGTATACATATATATGGCTGATTAATTACTGGTTGTATAAGTAATTTGAGTTGACAACACTGAGAAAGGAGCACTTTTATTCAATCAAATTGGATTGATCAAAAATACCTTTTATGTAGTATGTAGAACATTTACTCTTCGGAGATATATTTACATTTCAAGTTCTTTATTAGTTACTTCTATTCAGTTTTGAGGAATCAAACTGGGAATATGATGAAGGCTAGTGTAATGACACTAAAGGATTTTAATTGATACAGAACTCCATTTAACACAGTGGATTGAACAAAGTCGCTTATCTTCATTGAAGCTCTACTAAAATGTTGACAAATAACTTTTTCAGAGTTGTAATTCAAAAGTACAAAAGGACTGGAAGAGGAAATGGCCATAAGAACAAGAGATGTCATTGACATTCGAAAAGATAGAAGGTGGATGACAAGTGGTAGCTTAGTAGAGCAGAGAAGGCTGAAGCCGAGGCTGGGACTTGATTGCCTGTAGAGGGGGCTCAGACATAAAGCATGCGGTGTGCCCCACAGACTCTAGAAAGGCTTACAAATTGAAGGCATCAAGAACCTTAAGAGGTAAGGTGTGTTGAAAGTATGTATATGAAATCAGACCCCCTGATCCTCTGCTCAGCCACATGATCACCCCAACTCTACCTCACAAAGTGATGGTGGTTCTGTGCCCAGGAGGCTCCAGACTTGAAGTCTAGATACATGTGAAGGCAGGTAGAGGAAACAGAGGGATTGCTGCTGTATGGAAAAGAGGAATTAAGTGAAAGTCTACATATGAAACAGTAGGGCTCCTGAGGCCTTTTTCCTCACTGACTCAGAGAACTCTGGCAGCCAAGTCTATGTCCCCTGTGCAGAATATTGGAGGGTTCATCTGAGAACCAGCCCAGGAGACAAGACCTGCAGGTATGGACATCTGGGGAGTTCTCTGATGAAACTTTCTGGCTCAGACACCTCTGTACATGACTTGTAATCAAGTGCTTCACTCTTAAATATGAATGGACTGCTGAGGAATCATATCCAATTGAGGGAAGTTTCCAAAATGAAAGAGACCAAAATAAATGGAAAATAAATTCTAATAAAAATAATAAAACACCACAGAGGAATGAGAGACTGAGGGGAGCAGAAGAAAACTTAAAAACAAAATCTGTAATTAATAGCCTCAAATACAGACGAGGCCATCTTACAAGAGACCGTTTTGCATTTATAAGGCATGTACAGGGTGTTATAGAAAAAGGATAGAGAATAAGAGAGAGCTCTTAGAAATAGAGTAAGTGATAGGAGAAGTAGAAAACTTGAGCTGAAGCATTAGAGGTTAATTAGTGTTAAGCCTAGTCTGTACTAAAGAACAGAAAGAGTGATAAAACTAAGAATGTTTAGAAAATGGGGAAATTAATTCATAAGTCCCATATCTGACTACCAGGAGCTTTAGAAAGAAAGAGAAAAAAAGACAAATCTATTAAATAATAGAAGAAAATTGCTCAGAACTGAAGGATAAGAATGAGTTTGAAAGGGCCCACCAACTGCCTGGCAAAATGAATGGAAAAAGATCCATTTTCAGTACATAGTTTTGTAAATTTCACTATACTAGGAATAAAGATCTTAAAAGCCTTCAGAAAAGTCTCATATTAAGGATCAAGAATCAAAAGGAACTTCAGAAAATGACTTTTACTTTATATTTACTTTGTAAAACTTTTGTCCAGTGTGAGGAAAGAGTCATTTCCAGCCATGCAAGGGCTTAAGTTTAGCCCATGTCCACACTTTATCAGGAAACTGCTGGAGGATATGCTCTATAAATAAGGCAGTAAACCATGAAGGAAGAGGAGGAGACACGAAAGAGAGGGGAATCTTTTAAGAGGATCTGTCAAATTCAGAAGAGAAACAAAGGCAATTTCCAGGATGATGGTGAAGAGAAATTTCAGCAGTCCTGGAGGGCAATCCACATTGAAGAAGGAAAACCTTCTGGAAGATT